ATGAGCATTAGCAAGTTTTATCAGCAAATTTTTAACTGCAATATAAGTAGTATTTATTTATATTTTTTTAATGCAACTTCTTATTTATCCAATTTGTCCTATGATGTGATTTATTAATCAGATAATTAGATTTATAGTCATGCAATTTTTCTAGATTTAAAGAAGGATCAAAATACCAATATAAAATATTAATTCATTAAATTCATTGACAATTACAGTTTCATTTAAACATATTAATTTCCGATCTCTTAACAATAATATTACTAGATAACTGAGTTTGGAATTAAGAGATGTTGATGCATTGGTTCTTTAAAAACTAACCTACATATTTTATAACTTTTTTGCTCAGCCTGGTTAAACTGTAAATTAAATAGTAATTACTTACAAACAAATCTTGATTTTCATGATTACATTGGATCAGACTGTTGCATATTCTCGTTATTACTGATTGAAGCTTAACACTATTTACACCATTACATATTTGAGGCTAAAAACCACATATAAGGTAATTATTCAGTAATTTGTTGATTGAAATTTAGCCTATGTTTTTTGAACTTACCAACGTGTCCGACGTGAATAGCAAATGGACAGAATACAGGTAATATTCAAATAGTTGACATAAGCAAGTGACTACATCTTCTGATATTGATTTCAATATGTTACATATTTTTAAGTACTTTCCACAATGCCTCATTACTGTTAATGTTGTATTTGTAAGCAAAGGTGGTTTTTCATAGTTATCTGCAGTTACATTATAATTATCTGAGTCTTCATAGCTATTATTAGTATCATCACTACAAACACTATTTCTATCCATCTAGAGAATAAAAATAAAAATAAACAAAATTAATGTACAATAAAATTATAAAAAATATTTAAATTTTAATAATACACCCAAAAATAATATTTGTTATTACTTCTGTGTCCAATATATCTTCACAGTATGTCGTATTTAAATCATTATCAAATGGTGATTTATCTGATGAGAAATGAAAATATTCACACGTACTAATAGAGCTACTGTCCATTGATGAACTTCTACTATGAGTTGGACCTGATGAATTACTTTTTTGAATATGATTTTTAATTGTTCTAAATTCCTTATGGTAAAAATATAATAAATAAATTATAGCAAAAAAATTTAATATTTTAATATTTTCTTACTTGCAGTTGAAATAAATTAAATTCACGTTTCACTGGACAAGGAGTCCAACTTTCATTTTCAAAAAATATTGTTAGTTCATCCAGACAATTTTTATGATATGTATGAAAATAACTGATACAAGATTTTTTAGTATCATTTTGTAATTGCTCAGATTTACTATTGCAAAATTCTTCTCCAATCTTAATATGTCTAAAATATAATATTATAATAAAAATAATAGATGCAAATAAATTATTGTTTTATCACTAAAATATAACATGATATAAATGTCGAGATGATATATTGTAATTACAAACACAAACCTATAGAAATAGAGTATGAAACATAAAAGGCAGTTAACTTTGTATGAATTTAAAAACTGCAACAGATATTTTAATTTATAATTAAGTTAAAAAATATACTGATTTTTTATCATTTATGCACTTAAACTTTCACCTTATAAGTTATAAACATACAATTTTAAATCACATTTCTATACATTTAAGATCTTTTCAAATGGGTTAGAAGTCAAGCCTCTTCATTTACAGAAGTACATAAGAACTGAAATTAAGGTAATCAGAATTCAGAGTCAGTTAAGGCTATAGGTAAATGATATAATATCACAATGTTCATATTTGATTTAAATTTAAATAAGTAAATAAATATGAAAAAATCTGATTCATCTTCATAATTCAAATGACTATCATTTCTTAAAGTAATTAATATATGAATAAATTAATGTTTAAACCTTTGTTAATTAAAATAATTTAAGAAAATAGTATTCGGTAAACCGTATTTATTTTAAAAATAAATAATTTTTAATACTTGTTCAATATAGACAGCACTTGAAGAAAATCGTCAAATTTGAATTTTGTCATATTGGAATTGAATACTAAATTAGATATTTTGGTAATGATGTCTCCCCATAACCGAGTTGGACCAATTTCAAATTTTTTACTTATATATTCTTGATTTACACATTCTTCAATATCATCTAAAACACACACATTGGTTAATATTATAACAGTAACTAATTACTATTATTAAAATTATATCAGAATATTTACTCAACCAAGCAAAGTCAATAAAGTTTTGTACATAATATCAATAATATTTATACCTTCACTATCTGTGTTAGTATCTTTAAATTCTCTATGCCAATCTGCTGCTTTCTTATAGCTTTGTAAAATGTTCCAATATATTTTACTCAATGCAATCAGACACGAAATTAACTGTTCATCAGGAACACACTATTTAAGCAATAAAATAACATTATTTAAATACTAATAAACAGTTAAAGAAATAAATTAGAATGTATAACCTGACACAATAGAGCAAATGAATTTTTATTATTTTCCACTTTATCTGCATTCACAAATAAATTAATCGTATCAAACGAAGCACTGTGAACTGCTGATGTATAATGCATATGCAATTGGTCAATAGCAATTCTTGTTTTACCCAGGCGTCTATAAGCTTCTTGAACAGCTGAATACTTTTCATTATCAAAATTGAAACACATCTAAAAATATATTTATATAATTAATATATTGTTATTTTACTTATAGCCAATATAAAAAAAATGTGTTAATAATTTTAGTAATAACTATTACAATTACTATTTTTAAATATTGTCTAAATGGTTATTTGATCTTTGATCCAACTTACATTTGACAAGACAATGTCTAATTGCTCTTCTGTCATAATTAATGCATCTTGGAGTTTAATAGACAAAGCAGCAATGCAAGTAAATTGTTTAAAAGCGGAAGCACCTTGAGTGCATTCTAAAAGTAATGCTATACCTTTGGCATAATTAGCTTGAGAAACTAATTCTTCAAGTTTTTTTTCAGTTTGTAACTAAAAATACACATAATTGTTAAGAAAACAAAAACAAACTGATGTGTTTTATCTTACCAGCATTTTGATACTGTTTAAAGAATTTAATAAATCGAGAATTAAAGATTTTTTTCTGCAATTACCCAAAAGTCCCAAACCAGCAGTAGTGATTTGTCTTTTAGCTAGTTTTAAGCGATTCTTAGCATGTTCACAATTTTCTAGACTAGATTTTAAATTATTTTGTAACATTCCAATTCTGTAAAAACAAAAAAAAAATTACAATAATATAAATAATTTATATGTATTATAAGAATTAGTGTACTTGTCTAATTCATCATCACATGCAGCTTGATTTTCAAGAATCAATTGTAGCAGTTGTTTCTCAACAATTTCATGTTGTACTTTTAGTTTTTTTACATCATTGGCAATTAATTTTTTATCGAGGACTTCTGGTAATTTCTAAAATTAGTAAAAAATCTATTTAAATTGCATGCAAAATTATTGGTTCACCGTGAAAAAAGTATTTCAATGATAATTATAAAAGAATGTGCAATCAAAAAGAATAAATTAACAATTTATTTCATCGATGAACTGATTATATATAATAAATTATACTTAATAATAGTGTACAACATACTTCTAGTTCAAATTTAGTAAAATCAAAGTCAGAACTGTTGAAATATACTTGATCTATATTTGATACAAGTTCAGCATCACATTTTTCGACAAATTTTTCACTATTCACAGCTTTTAATAAAAGTGAATCACTTTTTTTTTCAGAAATGTTCCAAAAGTCTTGTGATCCAATTAGTGGAACCTTCACAGTAGTCTATAACAACATGAAACAAAATACTAGTAATTATTATTATATAACGTATATAATAAAAATAAAATTAACAGTATGTAGAAAACAAGTAAAATATAATTTTGTTTTGGTCGATAAATTAGTTCTAAATAAATTATAAAATTAAAAAAATAATATTTTAATTTATTATAGAATACAGAGAATACACAAAAACATCACTGAAAATGATAGAAAATATATCTTATTTTAATTAAAAATGAACAGCTTTTTATGATTTTTTTTTTTTTATCAAGATTTGTTTTGTAAATAATTGAATACATTTAATTATTTGAAAAGAAGCATAAAACAATGTATACAATATATCTTAGTCCATGATTTTAACTACAAACCTAAATAAAGTAAAAATGATGTGTATAAATTATCTTAGATAAACATAAATATATGATCCTAATCAGTATAACTTTTCTGTTTCATTAATTTAAAATTTAACACATACATTACAATGACCTACTCAACACCAGAAAGTGTATGTATCAAAGTGACTTTTACATAGAAATTTACTATAATTAATAATACATACAAATAAAATTATGTTCATTTGAATATGTTAACTAAATAGATATTTCTATATAATATACAAGTGTCTACATTTTATTAAGAATAATTAAATTCATAAACACACCTTAGCATCTATGAGATTCTTTATTTTTTGTTTGAATTCTGCCATACTGCCCAGGTTTTAATAAAAATATTGAGATTCTTCTTCTTTTTTTTTTAATTCTATTGACATTTTTTGTCATAGATACATACTATTAAAAATATTTTAAATTATTGTTTTATACACATTGAACACATATGTGTGTAAGTATATATTTATCACATAACGCTTTAAATACCAAATAGTAAACATTTTTGACAATATTAAAATAATTACATAATTATAATAATTTAAATTATTTAAAATAACATTAAATAAAATGTAATTTTAAGATTAAAAAAATTCTTATAAAAAATAAATATAAAATTATGATGATACGTATTACGTATCTCTTTAATCATGCTTAGGAATTGTATTGATAAAAATTACTGATTATAATTGATAGGGCACATTTTCATGGAATAACTCGAATAATCAAAAATATTGTGGTCTTAAAACCCTGTGACCAAAAGTACCCGTCGTCGATTTGTCGTTTAAACGACAACGAAAACAACCACGGCTAATGTTCCAACGGTGTAATCACAGAATAACGTACATTGGTCTTATCTCTGAAAGCCTCGACTTGTTTAGACTTGTATCACCTTGTCGTTACACTACATGCTTCTACTTCACAATATTGCCCTGAATCTGAATGCTAAACTTTTAAACTCGTAACAATTTTTTTATTTTAAACTGGCATTAAGTAATCTACGTGAGACGTGTTACATCTAATGGATACTATTAAATTTGAAACAGAGGAAGTAATTGACGTGAGTTATTATTTAAAAAAAATATTTACCTTTAATTATAACTTATATTTCGTAAGACTAATATATTAATCATTTACATACTGTGAATGATGACCAATAGGCGGTCAATAGTGAAGCCGAGACTGAATCGCCATCAATTAGTGAAGATTCAGAATCTTATTACCAACATTTAAGATCAACTGGTTTACAGATTAGTACTGAAGACTATCCAGGACGATTTGATTTTGATTTTTTTTTAGATGTCACAGAAATTTCTAAAAGGCATTGGATGGTTAGTATTGTTTTTAACAATAAATAATTGGTTCGTTAAATATTTGTTGCACTTGGTGAATTAAATGTTAAACATATTTTTGTACATGCTATTTTATTATAGGTACAATATTGCTTTTACTAATAAATGATTTTTATAGGTACTTTATAAATTCTTAAAAAAAAAATATTTATTGCATAAAAATTGATGTTAGTTAATATTTTAATGTAAAATACTTATTATTTTATAAACTATCAATGTTTTTAAAAATTACATTTTTATATTATAACATATATTTTTGATTCTATATTCTAAAGTAGAATATTATTTAGATTATTTTGACATACATAATAATCAAATTAAAGTAGTTAATTAATTAAATGTACTTAAAGATTTGATTGGCCATCAAAATTTAAAAAAATGTGTGATACTTATTTATATAATTTGTTAGCTATAATTAATTTTCACTTTTAGTGTTTAAATATTTGTTAAAATTATTGTTACTACCTAGATCAAACATTTAAAATGATACAAATAAATAAAATATTTAAAGCTTTGGTGAGTAGGAGGTTGAGTTAAAATTTTCCAATGTACTCTTGACAACTACACTCTACTTATTTAAACTTGAAATATTTATACACTATCATTTATTAACTAATCTTCCTATAGTTTTTATACATCTAAGTATTTAAAAAAAAAAACATTTAAAAATTATAAAAATATGAGAAGTAAAAAAAATAAAATGTATATTATGAGATTTTTTTAGAAATGTTTTATAATTTCTTAAAATTATGTAAAAATTATTTCTTATAACATTAATAGTCTTGTGCTAATGGCTAAATAAAAAATAAAAAAAAACATTAATAGTTTTTGAAATAATGAATGTTCTTGGATAAAAGTATTATTTAGTATAAAATATAACATAATGTATCATTTTTGATTTTTTGAAAAAAATTGTATTTAAAAAAACATGTGATTGTTTATTTAGACAGAAATAAAATGTATGTTTATTATAAATCACATTTTTTAATTACTATAATTAATAAGGGTTAAAGTATATTTATTTAATAAACAAGATACATCATTAAATCCGTTTTTTAATAGTTTTTTTAAAAAACAAAAATAATTTAGTATTTTAATTTATTACTATAAATTAATTTATATCGAAATTTTTTTGTATTTTGTTTTATCTGTAAGTTGTATCTGTCTTTTTTTTTTAACTAGAAATTTTCTAATCAGTTTTTATGTTTTAGTATTCTGAATCTTTGAATAAAGTATATATTGATATGAATCGAGTACTGCCTATTCAGTTTCAATGGCGATTTGATGATATTGAATTATTAGGAATTAAAAATCTTCAAATCCGTGCTTTACCAATTTTTGCAAATTCTGAATTTCAACAGTTGTCCATCAAACGTTGTCCTATACATATTTTGCAGGATAAATTGTGTGGTATAAAATAATATCTGGTTATAAATTTATGCATTTAATTTACCAATTAGATTAATGTTTTTCACATCTGATTTTAGATAGAAAAAAAATGGAACATATACTTTGGTGTGAACAAAGTGATGCCATATATGAACAAAATCACATAAGCCAAAGACAAAGTGTTGTTGCCATTGTTCATAATTTTGTTCCTTGTTCAGATTTTAAAACTTACAATGTATTATATAAATTTATGTGCAAATCTAGTTGTAATATGAGTCTTAGTCGAAGACCCATTTATGTAATTTTTACTTTAGAAACATTAAAGTAAGATATTTGTTATACAATAATTAGTGTTTAAACAATTTATCTGCTATTCATTTTTATTTTATTTTAGTGGACAAGTATTAGGTAGAAAAAAAATTGGTGTAAAAGTGTGTAGTTGTCCAAGGAGAGACATGTTAAAAGAAGAAGAAATAGAAAAAAAAAGAATAACAGGAATAAAGACTTTTAATAAACGTACATCAATAATTGAAGATAATGAAACTTCAGGAAAAAAACTTAAATCCAATAATGATAAAACCGAAGATAAAATTTATGAATTACCATCAGTATGCATTTTATTATATTAAATAATTTAAATATTGAAATTATTAAGAAAGTATTTAATCATTTTATTGATTTTTAGTTACCTATTCTAGGAAAACAGTTATATTTAAGCACTTTAGAATTATTACATGGCCATTTTTTGGGTAGCGCCGTTCGAAAAGATTGCTTAATAGACTCACATCCTTTGATTAGCATGCTATCTGATCTTATATCTAAAGTGAAATCTGAAAATAATAATCATGTAAGTTATAAGATATTGCTTGAAAATGTATCAAAAAATTAAAATTATTTTAATTTTATTTAGAACAAAATTGAATCAGAAAACCCATTAATACAGACAAATTAAAAACAAAATATTGATGTAACAATCATGACAACATTGTAAGAGTAATTTAATAAAATAATTTAATTGTTTCTTCTAGAATGTAAAAAAAAATCTTTTTCTTCTATAATTTTGATTTTGGATTGTGATCGTTATCTGTGTAGCCTTCATATTTTACAACAGCAGAAATAATCTAAAATTAAAAGTATAAATTTAAACTGTGAATATATTTATTATAATAAAATTGTATACACATATAATATTTGTTTAAATTTATTGTTATATTAATTTTTAAACTTCTGGAAAAAATCTATAAATAATTATTAAAAATAAAATTATTTAATTTATTAACTATTAAATGTAAACAAATTATGTTATTCAAATTAATCATGCAAAAGTAAATTAATGTTACAGAAGTTAATTTTTATTGTTGTACCCACTTCATCATTAAAATGTTTTTACAATTATTTAACTATTTTAATCATTTGTATTATTATTATTACCTGAATGACCAATACAGCATAAAATAAGTATTTTGTGGATGCAATAGAGTTTATTTTGTTAACTATTATTGAGGTGCAATTATTTTGATAATACTTTTCTGGATTTGGCTGTTCACAATCTGTGAATGTATTGCAAATAGCATCAGATAAACAACAACTTAAAGGAGCAGCAGGTATAATGAATTTTCCATTTTGTTGCGTGTACCTATCTTGAAAAAGGTTTTAAATCATATCATTTCAACAAATTAAATATTATTTTTTACTTTTTTAGTAAAGAAAATGAAGTTAAAGTAATTGGTGAAACCCAAGCTGTTTGGAACCAATCTGTATTTTTAGAACTACCACAGCAATAATAATGTTGTTGAAATTGATTCCAAAATAATTTCCAAGCTCTATTAGTGGAATATTTATCGAGACTAGTAGTTAAGATGTTTTCTACTTCTCCAGAAATTGTTTGCAAAGTAAATTGTAAATTGGCACAATAAAATACAAGTATCACGACTTCGACTGCAGTTACCACAACATAAGATCTCATTATTAAACTTTGGTTTGATAATGTAATTTTTCTTAAAACCAAAAAAAAAAGTTTGTTGATTATTAAAAATGTATACATTTCACTAATGAAAATATAGTTTTAATGTTCAATTTTGGGGAATTTATTATTGTATTTTAGAAAATCTGATTATAATTTTTTTTTTATTAGTTTAACAACAACATTTATAACTACAATTCAGCACAAAAAGTAATAGTCATAAGGTGATTTATACATAACATGAAATATGACACAACGTAGAAGGACTTCCAATGGATTCCAAACTTTCTTATTTTAACATATTGTCTAATAAAAAATTCAATAATTATTAATATTAAATTTAATAAGTTCATTATATTTGTAAATAATACAAATATATTACTCGTATAATTCATATTTTATGATTGGCTGAATTCTGTTTTACTCCTTTATTCTGATGAGTGATGACTATCAATACTTTATTAACATCAATTTTTAATGTTTACAGCGTGCTGTGTGGTAGGTCGTATTATAGGTAACAATTATATCATCAAATAGAAAAATTCATCTAACGGGTTCAAATTCGAAGATTTGCTAAGATTTCAAAAACATGTTTTCAGCCCAATAATCGACGTAAAATATTTTTTCCTGGAGTGTTAATAATTTTACTGTAGTACTGTACCATTCGCTAATTGATAGGTATTCACTACCCAATCAAAATGTTTTAACTTTGGAAAAGAATGCAAAGGAAAAAACATCGAAAATAGTCTCGAATCTTTGATAGGTATATATTATGCATGAATAGTAAGGGCACATTACCACTAGGTAACAGTAATTAATTAAGAAAATTGTTGAGTTAAGATATTCAACGGAACACACATATTATTCGCAATTTACATTGATTTCAAAGCGTTAAAATTCAAAAACTAAATTTGACCGCCCGATTTTAATCGCACCACCATTCTCAGTGTATAAAAAGTTTAAGAGAACTGCGTGGGCGTTAAACTAAATTTATATAGCATTTTTGTATTGTCTACTAATTGTTAGCGTGGTTTCTACTTCTTCTATTGCTCGTAAAATTGTAAGAATAGGTACAAATAATAGAATACCCGACACGGCTATATTTATTTAAATTTTAGCCGCGATTCATTTTCAAATTTGTGTTGTATAACAGACAACAGTGGTTTTCAAACTTTTACTATACACGACACACCGTACACTTTAAAAAATTTTCACGGCACACTGACTTTTTTTTTTAGATGAAAAAAATTGTTTTGTATTAATTATAATTGTAAGTATATTTAATTAGAAATGTGTGATTAATGGGCTAACAAATATTTATTAATTATAATTACATTGTATTAGTAATTAATTAGTTATTAAATTTATTTACAAAAAAAAGCATAGTTTATACATAGATACATTTAATGAGAAATGTGTGCCTAATGGGCGTTACAAATATTTTTAATTCTTAGATGAATAGTTGACAGACATACCCGCATTTCTTCCTCGACTGAATTTAGTTTTTCTCGTTTTTTATTTTTTATATTCGATCTCTTTGAATTTAAACTGCAATGTTCGATCATTTTTAATTGAACAGAGATTTTCTTCTTCGACAAGTTTTAAATCAATCAAGTCACTAATAGATACATTAAAAGGGTATCGTACCCAGTCGTAATTTTTAATATTAATACTTGGGAAATATTTATTCATTTTTACTTCTAACATGTGATAGACTCGACTATTAATGACAAAATGTTGTCATCCGCAACTAGTAAAACAATACGTGGAAACATAATTAAATTACCTCGATTAATTTTAGTTTTACATAAATTAAATTTTTCGATGAAAGCCATAATTTTGTCCGACGATGTTAGTATATTTTCACTACGACCTTGCATACTTGAATATAGTTTTTTGAGATGCTCAAACAAATCAGTTAAGAAAGATAATTTTGTCCACCACTCTTCATCCCCAAGAAAGTTGAATTCAGATTCTTTCATAGTTAAAAATACAAGTAACTCCTCTCTCAAATTGTAAAATCGTGATAAAATATTTCCCCTTGAAAGCCATCTTACTGCTTCATATAAAATTAATCTTGAATAGTCTGCATTCATCTCTTCACAAATTTTTTCGAATAATCTTGATTTAAGAGGTCGGCTCTTAATAAAATTTATAACTTTTACAACTTGATCAAGTATATTTTGTAAATCACTTACTAAGGATTTTGCCACTAGGGCCTCTCTATGAAGGAAGCAATGAGTAAAAATAATTTTTGAATTTTTTTCTTTACTAAAGAAATGAAACTTTTAATTGAGCCAGTCATTGAAGGTGCACCATCAGTGCATATTCCAATACAATTGTTCCATGATAAATTTACTTGATGATAAATGATCGTCTAAAACTTTAAAAACATCTTCACCCATGGGCGCCCATAGGTAATATTTTTTTATTTTTTTTTGGGGGGGGAGTCAAAATAAAAAAATTTTCTAATGTAAGATAATAAAGATTTAATGTTATTTTTCACATATAAATGTATACACTATACATACATGTTATATTTTTATTTATATATATATATTACGGTAAATGATGTTATATCAGAAATTAACGTTATTCGCCGGTTATTAACGTTATTTACCTACGAATGTGGGAATTATCGTTATTTTCTAGTGAATAACGTTAATAACCGTATGATTTGGGAAATTTTGATCTGATTATAAAATAAAAGAGGTTATTGCGGAAGATTTAAAAAAATAACCAAAGAACCAATCATCAAAGAAGACAAAATCGGAAATTAAATCATAGAAATCGCAGAAAAAAATTTGGAACTTGGTACTTAAATATTTTTTAATTATTTAACGATAAATTTCCGAATTTTAAATATAACAAAAATAAAACTAAAATATAAATATTTGAAAATTATTTTAAATATTTTTTTGATGATTGTCAAGAAAATATTTGTATTGCATGTAAAAATTCAAAAAAAAATTTAGAAAAACAAGGAGAGGAAATGATGAAATTTTCTAAAGAAAAGTTTCCTCAGCTTGAAATAGGCTTAACTGTATGTGTATTTATACCAAACGTTGATAGAGCTCGTGGTTCTATGCAAAATATACTATCAGTTGTCACTCAAGTTGAACATATACAAACTCTGTAAGTTAATTCTTAATGAAAAAATATACTATGAAAATTAAAATTTGTTTTATTATTTTATAAGTACGGAATATAGTTTTCTTAAATATTATTTCACATGCCAAAAATAGCTGTTTGCAAATAAAATCTATTAGACAAGGACAATGTGATAAAATTAGCAGATGGTAGACAGTTGACACTGAGGGAAGTAGCTAGTAATAATTCGGTTGCGAGCCCTCGAAGGTACCAGCGTTGTCATTGCAAGACTAGTTGTAATAATAATAAGCATTGTGCCTACCTTGGGGCTGAAAAATTATGTCATGGGAGTAAAACTTGTAAAAATAAATAAAAAATAATAATGCATTTATTCTATTTTTAAAAATATCTGGGTACTTACATAATTTTTCAAATTGTAGTATTTGAGATTCATGCGCTTATCTGGTTTATAACATCAATTACCTGTGTATTTGGTCATTAACGTGATTATCCAGTTTATAACGATAATTACCTGTATATTTGGTAAATAACGTTAATAACCGGTGAATAACGTTAATTTCCATTTAACATCATTTACCGTAACATATATATATATATATATTCATATATAATTGCCATATGAATAAATAAATTAATAAGCATATAAAAAAATAGAAATTAAATAATATAATTAAGTATATTATTCGGTATCAGTGAATAAGAACTGCAAATTTCTTCGTTTTATTCCTAACATATTAATGACATCCTGAATGAAAGTATCCTTGTTTGCGTTAGGTTAAAATATTTGTAGTACATATATTGTGGTCTTTATAGATTTACCACAAATTATCTGCGATAAATAATTTTACGTATAGGTTATACGGACTACAGAATACGACCCATCTGATGATGTTAATATACGATAACAATGAGTACCTATATTCTTATATTTATTTCATATCTTAAAAGTGATTTCAACAAATAATTTGCCTCGGTAATAAGGTAATATTGTGGTAATATTTTTTTCCAGGGGGGCAAGTGCCCTGTCTTGCTCCCCCCCCAATGGGCGCCCATGCTATTATTGTATTGTAATGAATTAGGAGACAAACTACTCTACGAATACGACGAAATGTCCAGGTCGGTTGCGACGGATATACTGCCTGGGGTTTTAAATTTTTTATAATATTACTTATACATTTTATAGTTCAATAGTTATCTGAGATTACTTATCGTAATCACTTTATTCCTACAAACTGTCAATTTATTAATATATAAATATATAATATCAAATCCATAGCGATTGAAAGCATATTATATTTTCTTATATCGTAATTCAATGCAATCAGTAATTTATGGAAAAACCGCGGCACACCTATTGGATACTCGCGGCAAACCAGTGTGCCGCGGCACCCAGATTGAAAACCTATTACACCTATTATACAATGTATAATATGCGAGCATTTGTCAGACGTCACGGTGCGTTATGATGAAAAGCTAGCGGTTTTTAGTGGCAACACTGGCACCGGAACTTTTGCTAGGCACGCGCACGGTTGACGAGTGTTGGCACCGCCGTAAACAACGTACGGGCATATTAACACATGAGTATAGCAATAATAATACAGGCAATACATACAGCAGTTGTTTACAGAAGAATAATCGTCATATTTATGCGAGATCCTGGTTATCACGATAGAATTAAATACTAATGAGTAATGATCGCGAGCGTTACTCGTATTTGTTGTTAATAGTATAATTGTTAATATTATTCGTTCACATTAAATCAGTAAATCATTGTCATCCGAAGCGGTCCATAGCAGCAGTGTCTTACGTTCATTGCGGTCTACCTGCCGCCCGAATTTGACCGTCTTTCAATGCACCGACAGTAGACGTATTCGTCCGCGCACACCGAGGTAATAACATAGTTGTAGACATTTACGTGCATTTTATCATTATCGGGGCTT